CGATACTCCCAGGATTCATTGCCTTCTCTCTGTCCCTTTCTGTTTTCACCAAAAACATATTCTTCAGATAATATATGACCAGCGGCTTTATTCTAAGGATCTCGCTAGCAATGCCAGCCCAACCATCAACCATAATATAGGTAATGAAAAATGTAGCTTTCATTGGTATTGATACTCCAATGGTTCTTGGGATCCTATGAGATCAATGAAATAAAATAGGTTTTAGTAGCAGAAATTGAAAAGTAGGTCAGACAGGTATTGCTGGTAGATTCAAATATTGTATAATTGCAAGAAAGGTCATAACGTAAACAAAACAATTGAAGCTTAGATGATATAAATTATGAATCTCGTTAACTACAATTATGCAGTGTGATGAAAAATATAAAAAAAGAAAAAAAACATCATTCAAAGCATTTCCTTTGATTTCAAGTTCATCCATAAACATCTATAATTAATCAAAACATCAAACGCAGAAATGGAATTCACCAACATAATGGAAATTTTCCTTTAATGGTATCTGATTATGCAAGCTTGACTATTACCATATAGTACTTGCAAGTGCTAATCAATAATCAATGAAAAAATTGAGCAAGTTAGGACAACTGAGCTTCGAAGAAATCATAAGTGTTTATAATGCATGAAAGTGCGAAATTTAAGTGATCAAATACCATAATGGATATCAGGTTAAAAGAAGGGTAAAAAGTATTACTGGGTCGGTGGCTGATGGATGAAAGCACGAAGCTGCTCAAAAGCTGTCCCAGTGATTATGCTGCCTAGAAACACATTTACCAGCATAAAATAATAATATTTAGCTGCAGTCCTTCGCTCCAGAGATGATAGAGAGAAATAGCCTTCAAGCTTTGACATTATCATGAGAACTGTTGGAAGGATGTACAAGAAAATTTTTAAAGCTAAACCGGGAAGAAATCCTTGCAAAAATGATTTGATCACCTTCCTGCATAAGAAAAGTTGGAGGATTCAGTAAAAAAATTTAATTAAATGCTGAATCTTCACAAAATGCACAAATCCCATTATTAGGTGTTCCAAGGGAGGAGCAATTCATAAAGGAAAAAACCAACAATCATGCAGGTACTCCACATCTACAAACACGACAAGGATGTAATTTCAATATATAGTCATAATACATAAAAGAAATGACGAAGAGAAGCAAATATGGTTTAGAACAAGAACTATAGTTAGATAGAATATCACAAAGTAACGACTGAAAGTTCTTAAGCCAATAGAAGAGTGGAATAATTTTCCATACAGGAGCATCCTATGACTTGCTGCAGTAACCCATCAGACAATCCTACGTTACTTAAATACACATGCCCCTCAAGTTGGAGTTCCAGATAGGATGCTGATGATAAAATGGATGAATTTGAAATGTATAAGGGAATATCAGATATTGCTAAGTTGAATTATTGATTTGCACAGCCCACTTTTCAATGAACCTATACACATGCAGCATAATGTTCATATTCTCTCAAAGAACATGGTATTGACTTCAAGTCTTCAACATTTCATAGCATTCAGGATATACAAACAAGATAAGGGAATGTTGATATCTTCTCTTTACTAAACTAGTCTACTAAATTCACATATTACTCATTTCCTTGCTGTGATTTAAGACTGGAGTCCATAGTGAAAAAATGAACTTCATAATTCATACTAAGTCAAAAATAAAGTTCATCTGATATGAATTAGGATTAGGAGCATAACAACTTGCAGATATCATTATAAAATCAGACAAAGAGCAAGCATTCTGCCCTGCTTACTGCCCTGCTTAAGTAAACTAAGGTAGTGACCTATTCATCATTTTATTAAAATCCCAAGACAGAAGTACTTACAGCTCTATCACAGGCCTGAGGACCTATTCATCATTTTATTAAAATCCCAAGACAGAAGTACTTACAGCTCTATCACAGGCCTGAGGAAAGGAGCCACCTTTTCCAGACCATCGAGATTTAGACAGAAGTACTTACAGCTCTATCACAGGCCTGAGGAAAGGAGCCACCTTTTCCAGACCATCGAGATTTGCCAGTGACTGCACGGCAGCAATAGGTATCATGTAAAAGAATACCAGAGCGAACACAGATAATGCTATAAGCAGTTTTCTGATGCTGAGAGAAACAAATGGTATAGCTAGATTCTTCCAGTAAACATCGCGTGGTTCTGGTGCCCAGTAAGTTAACCAGCGTGTTGGGTTCCTACTTTGCTGAGTTTGAGCACAAATAGCAGCAGCCCATCTCGAGTCAAATGAAACAAATGCTACAGGCATGATAGCTTTTGGATCTTTGAGAATTCTCTGACGCTCTGCTACTAACTGAACCAAAAGACAAAAGAAAAGTTCAGAACAAAGCTGGAAATTAGTTTTTTCATATGAAAATGCATCTATTAAAGGCTCAGGGTTAATCAATATGATGATGTACCTTACTCTCTCATTAACATCCAGACATTAATACCCTGTGAAGTACTTATGTCTGAAGTGATGCAGGAAACTTCTTACGAAATATAATGGACTTACGTATTTGTCAATTTCCCTGATGCTTTCACTATAGTAGTCAATTGCATCCGTTCTTACACCACAAAGCCCAAGAAATCCTTTCTGACATACCAAAGAATCAGATGGATCAGTAGTAAGATTAGAAGAACTATCATGGTTAGAGGAAGATCCTCTGGATCATGGCTTTTCTCGATGAAACAGGTTTTAAGTTAAGGAACCTTTATAGTGGGCCTCTGATCTGGATGTCTCTCAAGTTTGAGACGATAATAATCCAGCCAGTTGTGAAGCCGTTCCTTTCTTCTAACAAGTTTGGCAAATTTGTTTGCATTATAAACAGCCTGAGCAAAAAGAAAATAAACAGGGGCAATGAAATAAAATAAAAAATTGAAATAGTCTAAAAGAGGCAACCAGTAAGTTATCAATAAAACTATGATGATATTTTGCATATTTCTATTTATCACCTTTATGTCTTTTGAGTTACTTGGTAACTACATCATTCTTCACGTGTCAGTTGCTGAAATGATTAAAAGTTTAATTTTAATAGCTTGACATAGCTTAAGCTAACTTTGTATTTCTAGGATAAAACAAGCTTTAATTTTATTTTATTTTTTGTTAAAAATATTTCTAGCAAGCATGCATAGACCTTTAATTTACCCAGATAGGTACTCGCTAAAATGAAGAAATATGACTATATTCTTGTTAAATGTGTTTGATTGGATTAATTGAGAATTGATTTATCATATATGTCATCAAAACCAGTTGAACCAATAGTTTAACACCTTAGAAATAATTATTGACTTAGTTTCCTACATGTTCGATGAAGAAAGGGAATGTTACTAAATAATTCAAGAGCAAAATAACACGCAGGAATTGTCAATAAGGGAAGAGAAATTTGATATTTATAAACACTATAAGGATAGTAAACTTCTCATGAGAAACATCTATTACCTGGTGGCCAAGGTAGTGTTCAGGATGGTTCCGTTGAAAAAACTGATCCACGCTTTCTGATATAGAGTGCCCAGAAACATGTGGGATATTTCTGACAACTACCTGTAAATAGATAAATGAACAAACTAAATCATAGATTTGAAGTAGTAAGTGACTACTGTATATGATTAACTTGTACAAAGGTGCAACATGAGATCAAACTTATGTTTCAACATTTCAAGTCAAATCATAGATTAACTTGTACAAAGGTGCAACATGAGATCAAACTTATGTTTCAACATTTCAAGTCAAATCATAGTAGACATAGTTAGATCAAGTTCAACATTTCAAGTCAAATCATAGTAGACATAGTTAGATCAAGGTGAACTTATTTAAACCATTGGATGATGATCACTCAACAAGTAGCAAACTGTTCACAGTAAATATATTACTGTTCTCCAATGCGAAAGTTCAAGCAGAACCAATATAGACTTCAATAAACGAGAGACAGTCAGAGAGAAGTGTATGATTTTACTCATGAGTTACAACCGAAGTAAGAAATGGCTCTAGGAGCAGGGAGAGGAACCAACAATTTGATGTTTGCCATGGTTTGAGGGTCAGGGTGTCGAAGCGTGCTTATTGTGTATGTATTTATTAATATTTAGTAAGGAAAGAAAAGTTTGTATCTGATAACCTAACAAGACCTGGTAATCCACAAATTTATTTTTTTAATACTGAAATTACCAATATATGACATGAATGAGAAGTCCTCGAGAAAATAGCACAGCAAGAAGATGTAGCACAGGCCATATGCAACAGATAGATATCACCAGATACGTTAGTATGACGTTCACGGACTTGCTAAATGGAAGATTAAGTTCCCTTGTGAATCAGCCGCCACATCTTCATCATGCAGTTGAAATCTTTCAAAAGTAACCTACTTTAACAAAATTCTGATTACATTTTCTGTTACTTCTGCTTTACTTTTTCCCCTTTGTCTACGAATCAACTTATCTCTACTTAAAGAAATAGAAAATGTGATGCAATTAACTTAACCAGTACTTACAGTGAACTGAGCAGCACGACGATCTTGAGATGCTAGAAAATGCAATCTCATGAAGGCTATATGACCATACTCCTTGTAAAGGACGTAGCAAGTCCATATGTTGAACAAGTATGCCATTGACAGGTGAAACCAGAACCTAAATTATAACCAAAATAATTATATTAAGTCCATAGTACTAATTAAACTGAAAATGGAAAGTCCTCGGAAGTCAAACAAATAAACTGGCACATAAAGCAAGTAAGACAGGGATTTAACTTAGATACTCCGTTTTGATGAACCTTTTTTCTGGTCAAAGTAAGGAAATTATCTGTAAATTTTGATACTCGCCACCGCATGCCACATTGTGAGCAGAATAATAAAAAATCATGAAAGCAAAACAAAGAAGACAAGAATTTAAGAGTGGCTATTATTCTAGATAGAAGTATTTACTTTAGAAAACCAACTTACCGTTGAGAACCCTCCCTAACATTTGAAATTGAAAGCTTATCAATGCCACTGAAAACTATGTCTTTGTGAATATTTTTCAATGTCCCATCGTATACATTCACCGGAATAAGAACTAACAGAGCTAGGATTGTCATTGGTACAAAGATCTTCAAGCTGTAAAAGAAAAAATTAAGTTAATACTGCAACTACCGGTACCACCGTCAAAAAAAAACAAAATAATAATAATAATAATAATAATAATAATAATAATAATAATAATGTATGTGTTCTTTTGAAGCAAGATGTGCTGCAGAATATATGACTAATGAACTCAGACCATAGACGAAAATATCTAGACAACTGGCATAATATCTAGATAACTGGCGTCCAACTAAAATATGAATTGACAAGTAACAATTATAAACCTCAACCCTCATCACAACTTCAAAGTTATGGTGTAATGGCCGGGATGGGCCTCTAATGTTAACCAAAGCAACCCAGGTTCAAATCCCATATAACGCACATCTAAAGCAATTTAAAAAAAAAATGTTACGTGAGTCCAGGTTTCGATCCGTGAAAAGGAAATTCAATTCAATCTGCATGCATATTAGAGGAAAAATTATAAACCTCAGCCATCATCGAAACTTCTTAGTTCTATAGTAGCCGAAAGGCCTTCTATGAGACCCGAACAGACTGCCATACTAACCAGGCTTTAAATTTAATAGTCATAAAATCATGAGGTAAGCAAATGCATTGTTTTATCTCAGAAATCAACCGTTTTATCGCCGTAAAGGGTACCAATCAGTTGACGTGATACCTCATAATAGACAGATACAAATCCATCACCAACCCTGCATGGTCATAATAATCAGCTACATTTCCCTTTCTTAATATGGAAAAAACATAGTCTAATGTCTTCTTTTTCAGTAACAATCTTTAGCAACACTCAATGTGCAGCTCACGTTTCCCCTAAGTTGGTGAAATGCAGCATTCATCACCAGCATCACCCAATTGCTTGATTTCCCACCGTACTACTAAATTTAGCCAATGACTAATTCATATTCCCAACAAGTTGACGAACTACACCGTTAATTAAGATTCTAATATTTAGCTTCATTTCTCACCATCCTTCACGCAAAATGCTCAATTCAACAATGGATTACATTACTCATATTCATATTCCGCAAAAATTAAGGAAAATTCCAGCTAAAATATTAATTCTCACCAATTCTTTTCAATACCAAAATCTCGACGAAAATTACACTTGTAATCTTTTTAAAAAAATCCTTAAAATCGCAAAAATTACCCGAGAATGTAGATCCTCAAAAAGATAACAGAATCGAGCCCCGCATGCTGGATCAGGTCATTCTTGCTCATCCTCAGCGCCTCCCGCATCCAATTCAAGAACGTGAAGTACGTCCTCACGTTGAGATTCACGAACTTCCCGACGTCGAGCTCCGGCGAGGTACCATTTCTGGAAGTACACTCGATCGAAGGCGGGCTGGAGCCTGAGGATGGCGAAGGCGAGGAGGAAGGCGAAGGCGCTGAGGATGTTGATGAAGGCCGAGACTCCGATGTCCTCGAGAGTCGCCATCAGAGATCGAGGTGACCGGAGCGAAGGGGGTCTAAAAGCTGGGAGGGAGCGCTTTTCCTTTGGGGTGGGCCCCGGGGGTGGTGAGTTTAAGCCGCGGTGAGCTGATCGCGGTGGAGGGCGCGGGGTTTTGTTGTGGTGTTCCTGCGAGAAGGGGAAAGGTGCGCATATGGAAATGACGTGGGGTATTGATGGTAGAACACGTAGGAACCTAGTTTTAAGGTAATTGTGGTCCAGCGGGGTAGCGGGGTATGGACAAAAAAGGAGCGAAAAGCGGAACACGCCGGAAATGGAAAAGGCGTCGCCGTAAAGTTACATTTTCACCCATGGGGCTAATTAGCACTTAAACACCTTATGTTCCCCCCATTTCGCATCTATATGCTTTTGCTCGTTTTTTCACTGGATTCTTCTTTCTCATGACACTTAGCAAGTAAGTTTAGAACATTTTAACATTTAATATTTTTTTTGAATTGAGTTAAAATTGCTATTGTCGGGTAAGATTAGAGTAGAATTAACGTACGTTAAGGGTTAGAAAGTTCTAAATTTAGCAGTTTGTCATGTGAAAAATCCAGGACCAAATTCTCGGGTTTGCTTAACCGAAAGTATCAAAGTGCAAATTTTAAAAATCTTAAGGTGTAATGCCAATGCAGTATAGGAAAAACTGTAAAATACTTAGGAGTGCTGATAGCCGGAAAATCTCCATTATTGGGCCGGACATAGAAGGGTACTATTGTCATTTACATTTGCTGACTAGGCTCTCACGGGATTAGTTAGCCGTTCTCGGAAGCCGGTAGTTTTGTCGGAAAGCGGAACTAATTCCGGAAACTGACAATTTCTAAAATGCGCCGGTAACGGCGCATTGTAGAGAGCATCGAACCCCCGGTGGAAGGCACATGGGGTCAAGCGGGAATTGTTCTCTGTTTGTTGCCGACTAATCCGCTGGCATTGCCTGTCATAACGACGATTAATTAGATCGCTAAGCATCGTGATTAGAATTTAATTAGCATCATTTTATTTGATCGTGCACTTTGGACGTGGGTGATTGCTTAACAACTGGAGGTCACCAACCAAGTGAGTTAGAGGAGATTCTTTAAAGCACACTCATGATGTTAATTTTTATTAACCCTTTTTCCATTTTGGGTATGCTTTTAATGTAAATTCCCGAGTGAACGTGTGTGAATGCAGAATTTAGCTAAGAATGAGTCTGTTTCAACTCGAGGAGGCGTAAATTGATAGTTGCATTTGATAAAGAGCTGTTGGTTCGAAATCAATCGAGTCACAGATTTACGTGGTTCAGTCTATGCGTATCTCCAAGAACGAGTAAGTAAAATACCGCTCTTGAAGATAACAACATGTATAAAATTCAAGAGAAAGTTCTCTCACTCATACCCTCTAGAAATTATAGAGTCGGATCCTTCAACTCATGCACCCACGATGTGCACGAAGATTTCCAAACATTAGTAAATACAATTCATACGGTCTTCGATAAAAAGAAGAACTATCGTAGAGAAAATTAGATACAATACCAATATCTTAGATGATCCTCCTTGAACAAAAGACAGCACCCCTCCAATTTTACAATGTGGAGTTCTTGGGATTCATCACCTAATTAATATTCGTGTTCCTGGACAATAATTAACCTAAGTGTTAATCATCTTCTTGGAGTCAACACATGTCCCATATTAGCATTAATCATCAGATCGGCCAGGCCCCAGCCAGGAGCAACTTGGGTGACCTGGGCACTCGACCCTTCCCAAGCCAGGCGAGTCAAAGCGAGCTCTCACCCAACCTCATCAATCAAGTCAACCACCCTTATTTACTCATAGCCGGGTTGACAACCCGTGAGTCTAACAAAAAAGGCAGTACTTATCGTCCAACTCTCAGAGTCGAGTCAAGAGGCGGTTCGTCCTTGAACTCCACGCCAACAGCTGTCCATTATTATTATGGCTAGTGTCACTAGTCTCCATGACTCATCACCCTCCATACTTCCTCAATGACCATCACATCAAATTAATGGTGACTCATCGCATATTCAGTCGACACCTGTAAAGTTATCTGTCGATTCAGCTATCTGTTTGGACTCAGTCAAAGTTACTTTTCTACCCCTCTCTGGTGTGTATATATATGTACTCATCAATGCGATGGTGAAACGGCCACCCGAACCCTTGGAATGACTGTCATCGTGATACAGGAGCCTAACTGTCATCGTGATCGAAGATCGCTTGCGACTTCGCTGGTGCCGTCAGGGAAAATGCCCTAGGGATGTCATATCTCCCATACAGAGCCTCCAGCTATGACGAAGGCATCTTGGAATGAAATTTCTGCAACTGGTTGATTCAGGCTTCATTCCTAGCTAATGAAGACACCATGAAACTAATTGCAAAATTTGCCAGAGGATAAAATATGAAGATCGGAGTTCTTCTGTAGGCAAAGAGTTCAAAATTGTAGGTGAACAGAAAGATCTCTCACATCTGTACAGTTGTACTTATAGATAAAAGGGCCAACAGGTGGCAAGATCGCAGCAGTCGACTTAGCTCCTATCCAACGATAGAGATCATTCCCATATAATACGAGGTGACAACTACAGAACCGAAGCGCATCTCGTCTTAATAAGCCCACAATCCTTGTTAAGGAATTAAGGCGGCCGTGGCCCAGAATTATTCTCTGACGTCAGCAACATCACATCCGAAGAGACCCTTCAACACCCCTCATAAATGCACCTCGAGACCCGACCAGCTACAGTCATATTTCACTCCGACTCAGCTACCCCGAGTCCAAATGAAAGGGTCAGTATTATGATAATAATTAAGATAAGTGTTAATCCTCTTCTTAGAGTTGACATATGTCTTAGATTAGCATAATCATCAAATCAGCTAGGCCCTAGCCAGGGGGCGACTCGAGTGACCTAGGCACTCGACCCTTCTCAAGCTAGGCCGAGTCAAAGTGAGCTCTCATCTGGCTTGCTTCATCAGTCAAGTCGACCGCCCTCATTTAGTCATAGTACGGTTGACAAATCACGAGTCTGACAAAAAAGACAGTACTTGTCGTCCAGCTCGCAGAGCCGAGGCAAGAGGTATTTTGTCCTCGAACTCCATGCCAACAGCTGTCCATTATCATCATGGCTAGTGTCACTAGTCTTCATGACTTATCATCCTCCATACATCCTCAATCACCATTACATCAAATCAATGGTTACTCATTGTATATGTAGTCGACACCTACAAAGCTATCTGTCGACTCAGCTATCTGTCTGGACTCAGCCAAAATTACGCTTCTGCTACTCTCAGCTGGGTATATATATAGGCTCGTCGTCCACTGATCAGCTTCCTCCCTTCTCAGGCCCTCTAGGAGCCACATGTATGTCATTTCTAGACAATTAATCTCATAATCTTTCTATATAAAACTTATTCAGTTCATTGATTTCTCACTCAAGCTATATACTGACTTGACCATTGGAGGAATCATCGGAGAATCCAACGCTAGTCCTCTAATGTGCTTATTTTGCAATTCGCTTATTCTAAACAGGGAATCAGTCGTCTGAGGAGACAAGGGAACCCACTTCGTTCATATCCACTCTAAGCACCATCGCTGATATGAGATTATCTACTAATCTCGCTGTTGAGTCCAATGACATCAACACAAGACAACATCCAAAACCTCTTCTAAGATGATCATCAACCTCCTGCATTAAGTCATTTTGACCAATATGATTTGATGTTAACTCCCGACAAGTCGTAGTCTCACTATCTACATGGCTCACATTCTTCACCTTCACGACTCGGTCGATAACTCTCTTCAACCACCTCTCCAAATACTCCCCATCAACTCCGACCATCTGATCCTTCTGCGACGCGAAACACTTGGACCGCGGCCCCACCTCCTCCTCCGAACAATTGAGGCCCGTACGTGGGGTCTCTCCAGGCGGGGCCCGCGTAGTTCATCTCCGTCCAGTCGCGTCCAGTCGGCGAACCGCTGGTACATGAACTTCCCGACTCCGGCGCGCTCGAGACAGCCAGTGGGGAACAGTTCCATGATGGCGCTGCCTTTTGGCATGAACATCATGTTTGTTAGCTGGGCGCCGTGGGTTGAGACTAGGATGTCCGTGTTTCTCATGATCCGTACCTGAATTTTATCAGGAAAATTTTTTTGAGAATTTTATAGGAACTTTATGCTATACATAACATACGGGAGTATGAATTTGCAAGTTATTGATTCAAACCGCTTGAAAATCAACTATTACTAAGATGATTGCGAGTATGTATTAAGCGTATTATAATAATAGTTATATAAGTTGTCATCCAGCAAGCACCAGTGGTCTAGTGGTAGAATAGTACCCTGCCACGGTACAGACCCGGGTTCGATTCCCGGCTGGTGCATTTTTAACATTTGTTTCAAATTTTTATTCATATTTTTGGAACCTTTTCTTTTTCTTGGATGTTAGTGTAAATTTAGAATACAAATCTAATCACGTGACAAGCCAACATTAAACTTGTCCAAAGAATTTAGCAATAACAACAAAATAAAGGGAAGAAAAAAAATCAAAATAAAGAGCTTCGATTATATACCTGCTCACAGAAGCTTCCTAGTGAAACGATACACACTTGACACTCCCCATACCCAACCTCATGTTGGGAATTAAACGCCTAAATCCCTAATGCAACAGAAACGCAGAATAGAAAAAGTACACCAAGATTTACGAGGTTCGGCAACTGCCTACGTCCTCGGGAACCACACAGATAATTTCTTATTAATCAAACAAGAAATTACAAATCAAGAGCAAATCCCAAAACTGAGATTTCTCAAATAAACACTGTAGCTACAGTGTTAATAATTAAAGGGTATGAACCCTTTTCAAGTCTCACTTGAGAATAAAAAATAACCCCACAATATAAAACCCTCTTTAATTCTCTCTCTCTCTCTCTTCTTAAATCCCCCTCAACCACTGTTGAAGGCTGGGGATAAATCAAAATCGCAGCAGCGATTTAGGGCAGTCCGCCGCCAAAGAGAAAATCGGAGGAGGGGGAAAAACTCAGCCACTAAAACCCTAGGCGATGGGGGATCTTTTATAGGTGAGATTGATGGGTTGGCGACAGCCTGTCGCCAGCGGCCCACGGACGCCAATGTCGGGGGTAAACGCAGAGGTCGGATCCGCCAAAAGAACGCAGAGGTCAAGGGGGTTCGAACGCACAGCTCAAGCGGGTGGGTTCGAACGCAGAGCTCGGGATTCGAACGCAGAGCTCACCTGTGCTGCCGAAGATCGCCTGGACCTCGCCTGTGGCTTCGCCTGCGTCGACATCGAGCTCGTCGGAGCTCCTCGCCGGCGCTCCTCATCGGAAATGAGGTTTGATCTACACCCCAATTCTAACAGTTATATGAATGGAAGAAGCACCTGATGATATTGTGCACCTTCTTCGTATTGATTGTAATAGTGCAGTTTCTTAATTAATGAAATCTTATAACTTTTCACTAAAAAAAGAGATATACCAGAGCTTTAAAAAACTTATTCTTGCATATTTTTTGTTTGGGTGCGCGTAGGGTGGGATGGTAGGGTCTATTCGCGGGTGGAAAGTCAAACTGGTCAAGTTTGACATTTCTGTCCGTATCTTCGGATGTTTCGTTAAACTCTTATCGATGATGAATGAAGAGACATTTTGTTCTTGTAGTTATAGAAGATCTATCAAATCTTTATGAATGGAATGACGACAATCGTTTGATAAAAAGTGGTTGATGGTGAGGAGGAGGAGGGTGGAGATGGTGTCGACCAGACAGAAGATGCATTCAGATTGATTGATTTTAAGTCTGTGAGAGGAGTCCATGCGTAGAGAAAATAATAACAAGTTTGAAGATGAATTGGTTAATTTTTTGTTGATTTTTGAGATTAATATGAGCTTTTATAAGTTAATGTGATGCATTTTTTGTGCCTTGGTTGATTGGAAACGCTTTTGTTAGAGGTATGGGTCATGTATGGCTCACAAGACTTGCGCTTCAAGTGCTAGTTTTGAGGATTGAATTATGGAGCCGTTAAGATCAAAAGAAATGCTGTTAACGGGTCGGGTCGGGTTCTTGAGAACTGCCCGAATAAAGTTCATTTATTTAGTCAAACAAAACATATTTTTGCTAAAATTTTTATAATTGCAAGGGAAATTTATGTTAAGGACTCTTATTGTCCTTTCATGGCCCAGTATGTCTGAAGCTACATGGGCCAATCTCAGGCCCAGTATGTCTGAAGCTCAATCCAAACAAACAAATTGTATAAGCACGCACCCAATAGAAAATTGCGTTTACTTTCCATTATCCATATATAAACATTACATAAATCCATATAAAATCTTCAAAAATGGGGTTTCTTCACACCATTTCTTGGAGCACTCGTTGCAGATTCATATTTGGGAAATTACAGGATGATTCTCTACTCATCGTCAATATATTTTCTTGTTTGTTCTGTTTTAGCTTGTTTCTTATGCCTCGCATAGTGTACATAATTAGAAGAAGCCAACAACAACAACAAATCATTTATTCCCATTTTTTGTCGCTGTGTGAATCCTATTCTTCCATTTGGTTCTGTTCATGGCCATCTCCTCCGTAAAGCCATTAATCTTATCACCTCTTCTGATTATAATTCCGTGCACGTTTTTAATTGCCTGATATTCTAATTCATAAAACATAGCCGGTTCCATTCATGGTTATCTCCTCTGTGAAGCCATTAATCTTATGACCTCTTCTAATTATAATTTTCCGGGCGTTTTTTAATTGCATGATATTCTGATTCATGGTCATCTCCTCCGTGAAGCCATTAATCTTATCACCCCTTCTAATTATAACTTCGCGCAACGTTTGTAAGTGCATAAGTATCATCACATAGGAATTTGAATCCGTACTCCTCCAATCTAGCAATTCTGGTTTCATTCGATGAAACACATCATTCTCAATGTCACAGTTAACCAATCAATTAGGATCTAATCGGCTTCTATTGCATCACCGAAGCCCGGTCCATGCACGGGCAATTTCTGCTGTCCTCCGGCAACTACATCTCAGAACCTGTGAACTGGTCTTGGGATTTTTCATCTTATTTTTATTCATTTTTTCGGCGCAGTCTTGATGTTATTGTGGAAATAAATTGTTGATGTTTGGAAATTTTAATATGTTTCTATGAATTCGGAGCTGTTGAATTTTCATGATCGCCGGGGTTCTATATGGAAGTTTCGAAATTTTGACTAATGTTTCTGCTTTGAAGAATTGGTCAGTATGCTACGCATGTATATTTGGACTTGGTAGGTGGTATTCTACTCCAATGTTGATTTTTATTGGAGGGGAAGAGAACTAATTGAATACATGTCATTCTATACAGATGAGAAGTTGCCTAACAGATGGTTTTGTTTGAAGCTTTAACTACTAGATATATTTCAATCGGTACTGCATTCTACGATCAATGACAAGCAATGAGCGTGTTTTCAACTCTAAAAGTCAGACCGAAGAAGATGTTGAGAGGAGTTCTTCACGCTTAATGGAGTTGTGGCTTTGATCATATGCCATTTTCTGTCAATAAAAGCTAGGCCCAACCCTTTTCTCAAAAAATAAAAAATAAAAATAAAAATTTAAAAATTACGTGAAATTCATAAATCTTGTGTAGTCATATTTACTATCTCCGATCTCCGAAGTAGAACAAGGGTTAGTAATTTAAGATGCCCTCAAATTATAATATCTTTATCAAATATGTAGCTTATTAATCAATTAAATAGGTTGATAGAATATTCCCTAAAAAAACAAGGAATTAGTTTTTGAAGTTTCTTCGAACCGAAGGCTGACAAGGGCCCACTGAAAAGATAACTCACCTTTAACATTTCATCTCAACCGTACATCACACAGCTCCAGTCCAACGGACGGCCGAGATCAACCCATCACAGCCTACTTCGGTTTGGAAGACTAACACCACTGTAGACGTTGGAAGCTCATCAAAAGAGAGGAAAACTCCTTCTTTTCCTCAGAACTCTTTGAAAATTCCCGACAAAAATTCTCTTCGAAATTTAAAGAGAAAATCTCTTTAAATTCTTAGAAATCCGCTGAAGATACCTTGTTAATATATTATTGCTATAGATTTGGCTGCATGGGTCAAGCCTTTAGGAAGCTCTTTGATAGCTTCTTCGGCAACAAAGAGATGAGGGTAATTTCCTTCGATTTTTCTTTTGATTTTTATAATCTTTTAGTGGTTTCTGCATCTGGGTATCTCTTAATTAGTTCTCCTGAGATGGGTTTTCCCCCCTAGTTCTTTATACTAGAAATTTCATGTGTAAAATTTCTATGAAATCAGTGCTAAAAATTGGACCTTTGGGTTTGAGTCTGGATATCTCATTTAAAATGTAATTAGTGAGAAAGGTAGATGTATCAATATTCTACCCTGAGTTTTCTCTGGATGAATTGACTGTTATTATTCATATTACTCAGTAGAAGATGCATTTGAATTGTTGATGCAGTTTGGTGTGGAACGCATTTACTGTAATTTCTGATCAAGTCATGTATCCACCTTGTGCTTATTATTCCATAATGTTATATTTTGTCAACTCTTTAATAATAACTACCTTGTCTTACTGTGGTTTCATCTTCCTTAGGTCGTGATGCTTGGATTGGATGCAGCCGGCAAAACTACTATATTGTACAAGTTGTACATTGGAGAAGTTTTATCGACTGTCCCGACGATTGGTATGAAGTTTATCGTGAAAAAACGACTTACTTTGTAGATTTCCTGCTAAATTAGTTGACCACCAACTCTATTTGAATTGTATAAGCATCTCTTTCATTTGAATTGCAAGAAGGTTATCATGATAAACGACTTACTTTGTAGATTTCCTACTCAATTAGTTGACCACTAACTCTATTTGAATTGTATAAGCATTACTTTCATTTGAATTGTATAACAACAACAACAACAACCACCAAACCTTTATCTCAAGTGTTTGGGGTCGGCTACATGAATCCTATTTTTCCATTCCATTCTGTTGCAGGTCATTTCCTCTGTCACGTTAGTCTTAATCATATCCTTCTTAATTGCTTCTGACCAAGTCATTCTAGGTTGACCTCTAGATCTCCTAGCCCTATTAACTCTAATATTATCACTTTTCCTAATCGGTGCACTAAGGGGTCTTCTTTGTACATGATCAAACCATCTTAATCTATTCTCTCTCATTTCATTCTCAATAGGCGTAACCTCTAATTTACTACGGATGCATTCATTTCTTATCCTATTTTTTAATGTATACCTACAAGACCATCGCAACATTCTCATTTCTGCTACACTTATTTTTTAAATATGTTATTTTTTAAATGCCTAACATTCTGACCCCATAAAGCATAGTTGGTCTTATAACCATCTTATAAAATTTTTCCTTTAGTTTCATTGATATTCTACGATCATATGAGACTCCCGAAGCACTCCTTCATTTCAACCATCCCGATTTGATTCGATGCACAACATCATCCTCTATCTCATTATCATACCTAACGATAGATCCTAAATAGCGAAAATAATTAGTTTTAGATATTTCTTGGCCATCAATATGTATCATAGGCTCTCTTTCTTTCCTGCTTTTACTAAAAATGCATTCTATATATTCTATTTTTGTTCTACTAATTCTAAAACATTTAGACTCAAAAGCTTATCTCCATCTTTCTACTTTAGCAATAATGCCTCTTAAAGTTTTATCAACTAATACTATATCATCAGCAAATAACATATACCATGAGATTTCATCCTGAATGTGCTCAGTAAGTTGGTTCATAACTAATGTAAAAAGATAAAGACTTAAAGCTGACCCTTGGTGTAAACCTATGGTAATAATAAATAGTTTAGTCTCTCCTTCATTAGTTCTTACTCTAATTGTTACTCTATCATACATATCTTTAATCACATCAATATATATACTAAATGCATATTTTTCTTCTAACACCCACCATAATACCTCTCTAGGTACTCTATTATAAGTTTTTTCTAGATCGATAAAAATTATATGTAGATCTTTTCTCTTCTTTCTATATCTCTCCATTAACCGTCTCAAAATATGTATATGTTCCATAGTTGACCTCTCAGGCATAAAACTAAATAGATTTTCAGATATACATGTCTTTTTTCTTAGTCTTTGCTCAATTGCCCTCTCCCAAAGTTTCATATTATGACTTATGAGTTTTATACCTCGATAATTTGAACAATTTTGTATATCCTCTTTATTCTTATATATTGGTATTAAAATACTAATCCTCCACTCATTCGGCATTCTTTCGTCTCGATAATTTTATTAAATAGTTTAGTTAACCATCCTAAGCCTATATCTCCAAGATATTTCCAAACTTCAATAGGGATATCGTCCGGTCCTATGGCTCGTCCACTTTTTATTTTCTTTAGAGCATATTTAACATCGCTAATCCTAATTTTATGACAATATCTATAGTTCCTATCATTCGCTATATGGTCAAAATCTATATTGTGCTCACTTGTTTGATTATCATTAAACAATTGATAAAAGTAACCCCTCCACCTCTCTTTTATTTTCTCGTTGGTTACTAGAACTCTTTGATCCTCATTTTTAATACACCTAGTATTATCCAAATCTCTACTCTTCTTTTCTCTAATCTTAGCAAGCTTATATATATATATATCTCCCTCCTTAGATTTTAACTTTTTATAGAAATTTTCATAAGCTTTGTATTTATTCTCACTAATGCTCTTTTTGCTTTCTTCCTTACTAGTTTATATTTTTCTAAGTTTTTCCTACTCCTACACTTTTGTCACTCTTTATTATAAAGTTTTCTTCTCTCTAATAACCTTTTGCACTCTCTCATTCCACCACCAACGCTCATTACCGGCTAATTTACAACTTTTAGATTCTCCTAGTATATTTTTAGTCACTTTCCTAATACAAGAAGACATGCTGTTCCACATAATATTAGTCTCATTATCTATGTTCTATGTCTTCTTTCATTATCTTATCTTTAAAATGTATTAAATTTTCTCCTTTTAAATTCCACCATTTAGTTCTTAGTATTTTGTTCACGTTAGTTTTTCTACTCCACTTTTTAATAGATATGTCTAAGATCATCAATCTACGTTGTGTAATTAAACTCTCTCATGGTATAACTTTACAATCATTGCATATTAACCTATCCGTCATTCTAGTAAGAAAAAAGTCTATGTGACTATTATTAAAATCACTTTTAAAAGTTATTAAGTGTTCATCCCTTTTTCTAAAAAGTGTATTTGCTATTATCAAATCATACGATATTGCAAACTTTAGAATTGATTTACCCATATCGTTCTTATCTCCATACCCGAAACCTTCATGTATCCTCTCATATCCGTTATTATCCTTACCAACATGCCCATTAAGATCCCCTTCTATATGTAATTTCTCTCCAAATGGGATTCCTTGTACTAATTCATCTAATCTATCCCAAAAAATTTCTTTTAGTACTCTCGCGCAAGCCTATTTGTTGTGCGTAAATACTAATAATATTAATAACCTCTACACCTAAGACAACTTTTATTAGTATTATTCTATCCCTAACTCTTCTTACATCTATAACACTTTCTTTTATTATCTTATCTACAAGAACTCCCATTCCATTCCTATTCTTCTATTTTGCTATGTACCAAAGTTTATATTCGGTCTTTTTAATTTCTCTAGATTTTTCACTTATCCATTTAGTATTTTGTAAACAAATTATATTCATTTTTTCTTCTAATCATGACATCCACTAATACCATTATTTTTCCGGTAAGTGTACCTATATTCAAAGTAGCTAATCTAATTCTATTTTTTTGTAAAAGTCTCCTATCATTTTCCCTCTTAGACCATTCTAGTCTATGCTTAATACTATTAAGTACCTTATTAGAGGATTGTAGATTCTAAGAACGCCCTTGCTTACTTGTCATTACACCAGAGTGGCATCGATGTAATGCGTCACTTCCGGGAGACGCCCTAGCAAACCACCATTGCTTACTTATCATTGCATCAGGGTGGGGTCGATGCAACACGTAGCGGTGGGGACGCCCTAACGAGTATATAATAAGATTCATTTTGCATGTGGATCCAACTATGTTTTACACTGGCTGTCGGCTACCTAACACAACCCTCCTCTTTTATCCTGGCTTAGGACAGGCAGTGCTGAAAAATAACACTAGCGGAGTTATTTGAATTGTATAAGCATTACTTTTTTTTGGGTGAAGATTATGCATTTGGTATAGGAAATCAGTTTCCGCCCTTCAAATTAATTGTGTTACTTTTCATTGAAGAGTGAGATAGCTCTTAACATGCAAAGTTTTACCAAGCGATGTGTTGTCATTGTTTATTATTATGTGCTTAAGCCATTTGGTATTTAATTATGATGACTAATGAGAGCTGAATCTAACAGGATTCTGGACTAACTCTTCTATTGTTGTTATCCAGGTTTCAACGTAGAGAAAGTTCAGTATAAAAATGTGGTATTTACAGTATGGGATGTTGGTGGGCAAGAGAAACTGAGGCCTCTTTGGAGGCACTACTTCAACAATACCGATGGCCTTGTAAATAACCTCAACCTGAAAATATGTAGATGAATTTGTCTTCCCAATTCTTGCATATAAAATCAAGAAATGTCTTGATCCTGTCGCATTTTTCTACTGTCAGACTTCAAAATTTGTGTATGCGATTCTTTCTTGCAGATCTATGTTGTTGATTCCTTGGACCGAGAAAGAATTGGGAAAGCGAGAGCGGAGTTCCAGGTTTATCTTCTTTTCTTTGTCACCATTTTCTAGTGATAAGAGCATCGATAGTTGATTCTTTCAAGAAATTGGGCCCTTAATACTGTGATTAATCATTTTACATCTCTCTTGTCAGGCGGTTATAAGGGATCCCTTCATGCTTAACTGTGTAATATTGGTCTTTGCGAACAAGCAGGACATGGTATGTGAAAGTGTTTATTTGACAGTAATAAATGACGTTGCGCTGCCAACGTTTAAATCCATGTATGTGCATATCATGCGTTCTATGGTTCTTATGCTACTTTTGTTATTACATATAATTTCTTCCTATTATCACTGTTGAAGTTATTAAAATTTCAAAAGCTGTCATATGTGCATCTTTCTTTGAGCTTCCACCTAGAAGGTGACCATTGAAATTGACAAGAAAACGTAAATTAGGTTAAATTTCAGAACGCCCTCTTGATTTCGGGGTGTTTTGCAGATAAACCCCTAACTATTTTAATCCCACAAAACCCCCCTGAACTTTGTGGGATTTTACACACAAGCCTGCTGAGCTTCTTTTATCCGCTAAAACCCTTGAAGGTTTTTCACTTTAACCCCCTAGAGTGACACTGTCAAGTCTAACTTGTCACATGCCAATCACATGCTTCGACAATGCACATATTTTCTTTCAAATTAACAAAATTCATTGATTTCCTTCAGAAAGGTGCAATGACGCCGAAGGAGGTGTGCGAGGGTTTGGGTCTATTCGATTTGAGGAACCGAGCATGGCACATCCAAGGAACTTGCGCACTAAAGGGCGATGGGCTCTATGAGGGCTTGGATTGGTTAGCGAGCACTCTGAACAAACTACAAGGCTCAGGAAAGTTAACTTCAGTTGGCACCTCATCATACTGATTGCAAAAAAGTTTGTTTGATTTTGTAATGTCATGTTACGATTTTGGAATTAATGGGGTTTTGAGTTACTCCCTTTGCTATCATCTGGGGAGCTGTAGTCAATGTAAATATACACCAAATTCTTGTGAAATGTAGTGTTTGAATGTATATCATGCCTAAGTTATCAAATTATGGTAATGTTTCTTTGCACTGAGATTTATAGTTCTCGTCATATTATTATTTGATATTACATATACATGCACACAGATACACGTACACAGATACATGCATACGTGGTTTAACATTTGATAGTTTGAAAGACTGATTGATCAATTTAGAAAATTAATTGCCAAGCAAGTAAGATATTTGCCAAGATCCAGTCAAGTGAGTACATTTACTGCTAAGTTAATTAATTAAAATATAGTATGATCACTAGCAAAGGTTTCTAGGTGGCATTGATGCTGGGAGCTTTGTTGTTGCAGCAAATTGATCCTCTGGTTTTTTTTTTTCCTGTTATCTTCATTTATAGTTCTGCAAGGGCATTTAAGATAACAAAACCCTCGATCTCTATATTTTACAATATAATTAAGAGAAGAATCACAAAAATGACATAGTTATATGTAACAATGTAAGTCATTAAAGAATTACAACAAGAAAAAATTAATTTGTTTCTCTTTAGGGAATCAGAATCACTTCTTAGATTCAATGAAAAATGTCCAAACTATTTGTATAACGAGTTTCTTGTTCAATTTTTTACCAAAAATTTTTTTACGTAATATTTTATTTTTTATTTTTTTCAAAGAAAAGGTGGTACTTTTCATGTCACACCTTCTTTATACTTGAGAAGTGTTTCTTTAAGTTTTGTTTTTAAACATTAGTACTAACTTTCTACAAACAACAAAAGTTATTTTTAAAAAAAATTAACTATAAAGAAGAAACTAGCACTCCTATATCCAAGAAAAGAATGTATAAAAGTTATGTTTTTAATATATTACAAAATTTTGAGAAACTAAAGAAAATATACTTACGCGTACGTGAAAATTGCCCTTCAAGTATGAAGATGACTCCATTAATTGTCGGCTTAACAAATTCACTAGCAAAAGCCATTGTTCAATAATCAGCACCAAAATTATATGCATAAAAAGAATAAGTTGAGGTCTAAACAAAATACCTCTTCAAGTATATTAATGTTGATCTTGAAAGACTTTGTAGCCATTATATTTGGTTGATTTTTGCAGAGAAGTCTAGGCTGCTCTTTACATAAGTTAGTGATTTTTCTTCCTAATTTGTTACATATGGCAATAATGACAATTGACCCGAGTTATTGTATATAAAGATTACGTGCCTTTTAAGGCACCATGGTTAATTATGAAAATTGGAAAAGTACTGCATTTTAGGATAACAATGTATCATTAGAGGTTATATCAGAACCACCCCTATAGGAGTGGGATGATCTACACCATACCTAAATAGTTGTAATTTCTAAACTAATCATTTAACCACCGGCGAATGGTATCGATCATCTCTTTCTATAGGGTGTTCTGATATAATAGAATCCGTACGCGAAAGCCTACAAATTTTTTGACAGGCTTATACCAGACTTTTTTTCAACATAAAAAGTCCTCCAGGATTGATTTCAGAAACCCCCTAAACTTCAGGGGCTTCACATATAACCTCCCCTAACTATTTTAACCCGAAGGAACACTGTGAATTTTGAGGGGTTTTCCAAATAACTCCCCTGAACTTATTTTATTCCACCACACCCCTTGAAGATTTTTCACTTCAATTTTTCTCATTTGTGTCCTTATCTTCCTTACAAATCTATACGTGCGTAATTCCTATCCTTTTTTCTTCCAAACTATGTAGTAATGAAGATAAATTCATTGTGAATCAACTCTACAAAAGTTTGCATACACTACCAATCCTGGTTCCTATGTGTGTATGTGAACAAGCTGAAACCCAGTCCTCTTGCATGCAAATTTTACTTCTTTTACTTGGTACGCATCAAGCTGTTATAGGTATTTCTATAAGATACATAAAATTGACAGCAACCAATATCAAAAATCCTTTACCAAACATCTACATCTTCAACAAAATTTTCATCTTCTACACCTTTACACAATTGATTCCTCTTTCAAAAGATTTTTTTAAAAAAAATGTCACAAGGTTCTCAAAAGCATAGCATACAGCATCTCATTCCAAACATCAGGGATCCCAGGAAGGCACCAATGACTACAATCCTGGTTCTTTACCTCCGGCGGCTGAAACTTTGAGGGGTGTCCATCTTTCCGATAATCCGTCATCCTTGTAATATTCAAATACATCACCGGACTCTTCATCTCTTCGATCACCGATTCCACCACTTCCACCAGCTTCGGCGCTTTTACCAGTTCTTTGTCGTAGATGACGGGGATTGTCTCCCCGTGGCAGTTTCCTCCCTCGTTCCATTTGCCTCCGCTGCAAGTTATAATTTAAGCTCATTTGATATTATGCTTGTTGTGATCATACAAAAAGTATGGTTAACTGTGGATGCACCACCAGAGTATCCACCAGAGTATCGTTGTTTTAAACATATTACCCCCATAGTTTCCTTGTTGCACATAGACCCCCTGAACGAATTTACTACCATCAGGTGGTCTATTTATCAAGAAACAACGTTCTCTTTATATGAGGGCAGAAGACTCCAAAAAATTCACTCGCGAGTATCAACAGAAATAAAATGGTTAGTTGCGGATAGACCCCTTGTACTGATAGATCCCTGAAGTTCTATCGTTGCAGATAGGCCCCTTGAGTGAAATGTATTGATTCTTTTATTCTCTAGCAAAGAAAATTATCTTCTTTTTAGGGGGACAAATAGATAAGGGTAAAAGAGTCAAAATAAGTTTCACTCAGCGGGTTTATTAGCAATTGGGCGATCGTACCGTGGGGTCTATCCATAAAAATAGAACTACAGGGGTCTATCCACAACTAACCCGTTTTAGATAGACATCCTTGATTGAAATTTTGTTGACCTTTTTACCTCAAGGGGTCTATTTGTCAAAAACAACCTTCTCTTTTTAATATGGTAAAAGAGTAATAAAAAAAATTACCCATGGGTCTATCTGTGACAACGAAACTACCAGGGCATTAAGTACAAAACAGTGATATCTCAGGAACCCTAAACACTAAAAGGAGCCACTATCTAGGATTTTACCCGAAATGAGACGAGGAGTAACCTCGGAAGAAAACCCTAGTCCTCCTTATGTCAATATGGGCTTCGACCCAATGCGCCCAGGTTCGCATCGCTTTGCTCAGAGCTTCTTCTGTACTTAACTGGCTGTAACTACTGTTGCCTTCGTGGTAGAATTCCTTCCTGCAATAGAAATTATTTCAGGTTTCAGTATGTCAGAAAATGCGTAGATGTTAAAAGTTTTTTTTTTGTTTTTTTTTAATATACCCCTGAGAGGTTTTATCATGTGTCCACCAGTGCCCTGTGTTGAATACTATGGCATCTGCATCCTTATAATGATGAGCATTGCTCTTGATCAGATCGAGTCGAACTTTCTCTACTCGATTCTCATTCTTTACTTTGAAATCTTCAACGAGGTACCAGGATTGGATGAATTCGATCGAACAATTATAATCCTGCAAATTTTAGAATGTCAGAGTTCTGAAAGATTGTGATACTGATTTCTTCAGTTTCTTGAGAGAGTAAAGAGTTTACACTGAATACAAAGGCCCAGGTGTTTTCTCCTTTGAAGTCTGATCCTGAAATCTGAAGAATGTTGGTCTTGTTTTCAAGAGAATTTCCAAGGATGCAGGCTAGAGATTCCCACATATTTCGGTTTAAAGAGTCCCCGACAAATGCCAATCTCTTTCCCCTCAACATTTCAAGCATTTTCTTGCCATCAATCCTATGAAAAAAGATCATAAATAATACATTCTTGGTGTCAAGATTGATTAAATTTTATTTCAGTAATATATATATATATATATATATATATATATATATAGAGAGAGAGAGAGAGAGAGAGAAAAATGAGTATACTTGGTACCAAGCACAAATTTTGTGCTTGGTAGTGAGGTGTCTCATCGCAAGAACAACAATTTTAACTGTTTTTAGTATCTATTGATGAAAAACAATGCACACATTTTCAGTTGCAGAAACTATATGATATTTCCTCCAAAACCCCTGAACAGAATTATAAAATGAGAAGGAAAAACAAACCAATACAGGCTCTGAAATTTGATCACGAATACTTAAAAACTCAGTTCTATCAAAAGCCTAAAAACCCATAATATATTTATCCAAGACCTAATTTCTTTAAAGTTCATCAATCAAGAGTAATAAAACTCCAACTTTGATTTGGTTGTAGACACAGAAAATATAATAAGAAGGAAGAAAAAACTAATTGCAACTTTTCTTGATAGCAAATAAAAAACGGAGCACAAATTTTCAGTTACTGGGACATTTTCTCCCGAACCCAAGAACAGATTTCTGAACTGAGAAAATTCCCGATCTTTATTCTGAGATTTGATTATACAGTACTTGAAAATGCAGTTCTATCAAACAAAACTAAAAGCCCAGCACGCATTTTTGCAAAAACAAATTTATTCCAAGTTCATTCAGAACAGGAAAAAAAATCCCTCTTTGTTACAATAAAGAAAACTAACTGTAACTGTTTCTTGATATCTAATCACAATACAGAATCAAATATTCAGTTACAGAAACTATATGACATTTTCTCCACAACCCATGAACAGAATTTCAAACAAAGAAAAACCAAAATCTTCATTCTTGCATTTGATTATAAAATACTTTAAAAAAAATGCATTTCTATCAAAGAAAACTAAAACCGAAGAACAAAAATACTGATACCTTTGCAGATCACAATCCTTTGGCTTCCACCTCCATTTGACATAATCCAAATCTCTGCGCCCATACTTGAAGCAATTGAACCGATCTTCAACAAACGGGCACGTCCCAGGTCCATAGCCCGAACCTGAATCGCGACCCACAACCCATCTCCCGTCAAAGATATTGCAAATCTCTTCTTTATCCCTGTACACAAGAGCTTGAGACTGGTTCTTGATCTCCAAAGTAGTAGCATACTGGTTCTTGACGAATGGAGATAACTTGGGCTTGATGACGATGATCTCACGGTAACCAATGGCGATGATGAAGATGATGATGAGATAGAAGTAGATGAAGAAGCGAGATGGATTTCTGAAGGGTTCCATTAGGGAATGAAGAAGAGTAGAAAGTAAGAAGAGCCTTGGCGGGTCTTTTCTTTGTATACAAGGTGTTTTTAATGTCAGCGAGTAGAAAAAAGCAGTATATATGGGATATTTGTATATAAGGTATTTTCCATACATGCCCACGAAAATTATAGGTATTTTCTATATTTCCCATGTACGTCATTGTAAATAACGATTTTTTATATTTTACTAAATTGATTTAATTATTCAGTAGAGAATCTAGTAGATAAGGCATATCTAATGGGGTTTTTCTAATTGGAAGGTAAATTTAAGGAAATAAGACAAATTGGAACGCAGATCACAAGGTATTTTTTTTTTTTTTTTTTTTTTTGTGTGGGGTTGGGGGGTGGGGGGACCATTACAATAACTATGCTTTTTATGTCAAAAAATCCTAGTATACAATGAGCTTAATTTGTCAACTAGGATCTTGCGACAAGAACGTGAGAATTGAAGGACAGAACTTGCTCTTACAAAATCCAGGAACCAAACAAACTCTTAAACATCAATCACATCTACATTAGCAATTAGTACCATCGAAGTCAATGGAAGCAATAGCTCATTTATTGCAAACTTTCAGCATTACATACATGATACATCTGGTTATATCTGAATAAACAACAGAATTTGGAAATCTAATAGGGCAAAGGTAATCCACAAAATCTGATATAACATAGGCCTTTGCTGCAAAAACCTGCTGCAGTACAGGAGGTTTTCTCTAATTTACTCTAGACACAAAAGTAAAATCATCACGAGGCCAAAGATTAATGGATGAACAAGGAGAACTACATTTCACCTTCAGACCCTTATATTCAGTAAACATTATCCATCTCCATCATAGATTACCTATGTAGATGCATTTCATATAACACAATTACTAGAGGAGGAGGAGAGGTTTTTTTTCAACTGAATAGATGTGCACGGCATCTAATGTATTTGACATAAATACATCAATATTTTTCTGATGACTGAATATTAAAGCATTTGGAAATATACATTAATGAAACACATGAACTTGCCCCAAGGAAAGTAACTAATTTAATAATACATTATACTGATGATATATGAGTAAGTTAAGATCTGGAAAAAAACAGCACATTTGACTCTCTCCATGACTATGAAAATGAATATCAGCTATTATAAGGATACTAAATCTGAAAAGAGGGGTTCATGAGAATTTACTTGGATAGAGAAGAATAGAAGAAAGACTAAGAGAAAGACGACAATATATATTTGTGATGACAAATTCATCGCTGTGCCGTTTTACTAGCAGATATCACCAAAGGAAGCACACAAAATCAATGGAAAACCTCAAGAGGTTTCAAAAGAAATTTTTTCATTCAGATGCATATAAATAAATGTTGTTTCAAAACTGAGCATTTTCCAGAATACATCCTTAACTTTTATATGTAAAGCAAACAAAGAGAACAGCAAAGCAACTTGAAATAAACCAACAACACTAACAATACACCACAAGAAATAGAACACAATAAGTTAATTTAGAAGAGCATGGAAATTCATAGACGTTCAATTTAGCCTTCTTCGCTTACGTGCATGAAGAACTCCATCCAAATCCAATGAACCAGAAGCATTGCTTCTTCCTCTTCTCCTATATGATGACCTTGAAGATCCTGCACTGTTGGGTTCCATAGAACCTTCTGGAAAACTGACATCCCCCTGTATTACTGCAGTTGTGCTTGACCCAGAGACTTGATCAGCAGCAGAAGCCGAAGCTAAATTAGCCCTAGGTATCAGCTGCTCAGGACTGGAAGGATTCATCGAAGATGTTGACGGTCCATATCTATTATATGCATTGAATCTATTCCAAACTGACGGGCCAATTCCATCACTAAAAATTGAATGTATATCACTATTTCGAGGGTGAGTAGTCGTACTCTCTCCACTCCGATGCCAAAACTCAATTGCATTATGAAGAAGTGGACTTAAATCACTACCATCACGAAATAACGAGCGTGAGCTACTACTTTGAGGGATTGGTGAATCTTCGACAGGCAAGGAGATATCTTCAATTGCACGCCTAATTTCAGCACTTGTTTCTGCTTCTCTTAACAAACTTCTTGCTCTCAGACTATTCAGAACTGCATGATGTGCACCGCTGAGCATTGAAGCACCGCTGAGCATTGAAGGCATATTAGGCTCTTCAAACCTATGCCTATTTCTCATCTGTTGATTCACAAGTCGCCTCCAAGAGTTTGTGATTCCTTCCCCAAATCTTCGAGAAATGGGTCTGAACTGCTGTCTTAAACTCTCAAATCTATTACCACGAGGTCTCGGGGGAATCTTTATGTTTAATTCCTCGCTCTCTGCAAGTTTTTTCCTATCACTAGCTTCTGAGTTCCCCCTCCCATAAATAGGTGTGATGTTCGTTTCAATAACCTCTCCTTTGCACACTGGACACTCTTTGTGCATGCTATGAACATTCAGCCACTGATACAAACATGGCCAGCAAAATAAATGGCCACATGAAGTAACAACAGGTTCTTGGGCCATATCGAAACATACATTACACTCAAAATTTGCTGCGGATTGGCTCTTTCCTTCCTTCTCATCTTCCGACCCCTCTGCTTCGATACCTTCCACAGGCACTTTATGCTTCCCATTAGTTTCTGCAGCTGGTTGCTGTTCAGTGACAGGAGAAGATGAACGGCCAAGATTGGATCTTTCTGAAGAACGGAACCTTCTGAGCCTCAACCGACGCTGGCTTGACTCAAGCAATCTCCTCAATCGATACTCAGGAGACTCAAAAATATCATGCCTTGAGGAAGACTCGTCGCCTCCATCAATTGCAGGAGGAGGAGAGTAAGACGGGGACCTAGAAACATAAGATGGCATCGAAGGAGAATACATCGGGATATCGCGACGCACAAATGGGTTAGCATATGGTCTCAAAAGTGGAGACATTGTTCGCAATGGGTATACAGATAATGGGTCATCATTCCCCTCTTCAAGGTCTAAAGGAATGTAGGATTCCAACGGCTCTTCATTCTCTTCAAGCTCTTCGGGTTCAGGCAACATTGTGGGGATGGGAGAGTGTGGTTCATAAAAAGGGGAATACGGGTTGTATTCTTGATTGGAATTGGCATCAACAGGAGCATCTGCATCGTGTTGAGCAATGAGAGGAATGCTAGGTTCATGAGATGGGGAGTAGGGAGCATGAGAATTGGCCATCTCCATAGGAGCTCGGCTTTCTTCGGATGTGGATGAAGTTGATAAAGGTAGAGAGCTAAGGGCAAGATCGGATCCGAGGTCTGAAGTTCGAGGTCGAGGAGAACGAGGAAGACCCAAGTAAAGATTCAGATCCATTCTTCTTCTGAGGCCGTTCTCATTTCCTTCATCTGCCATTCCCAATAAGGAAACAAGATGTGGCCTTTATGCCAAACCCGCTATCAAAATCGAATCTTTCTCAACGATCATACTGAATTGAGCACAGAAACCCCTAACCGACCTTCGGGCAGCTCCCACAGAAGACCCCCGGGGATTTTTTCCCCAAATCAAAGCAACAAAATTCAAACTTCTCCACTCATGTAGCCGCAACCCTTCGAGAATTTAACCCCAGCTCAGTCCTAACACAAAAGCTAGGGTTTCTTCATTCTTGAAAGAGAATAAAACTCTAAAAAGTCGAAAAAGGAAAATTCTTTCAAATCCTAACCAAATTCAACTAATGAAACCCTAAAAAGGGTCGATTAGGGTAAAGAAACAGAGCCACGACCGGAGATTTCAGAAAATTTTCGAGAAAAAAGCATACCTAACGTCGGGTTGCACTGGAGCCCTAAAGGTCCGAAATTTGGGGATTTTGGTCCAGTTCGAGACTGGGGAGACGAAGAGGCTGGCCTTATTAATACTTAAAATGTCGGGGACTTTTCAGTAAATGCGGGCGGAAGTCTTTTTTTTTTTTTAATGGAGAGAGGAGAGACGTGTTGACTCGTCCGACAGCGCTTGCCGCCGTTGGAAATACACAGCTGGCATAACGGACGGTTGAGATCAACGCTGCAGCTCTCCTTGAGGGAGTTAAAAGCGGCGGATCCACGTGGGAATTTTGGGAGTTAACGTTTTCAAGAGATGAGAATTCATGGGCTGGGGATTTGCCTCGGCCTGGGCTTAAGAAGAAGGAACATAATATCCATTCCTTGTTTTTTTGTTTTTTTTTTTAAATCTAAATTTCGTGTTATTTTGATTTATAGGGGTGGAACTTAATAATATTTTGCTTTCTTGTTGGGATAAGGAAATAGAATCCCTAATAAATATTCTCATCGATCTATTGACGTCCATGATGTAGCTACTGACAAACGCCTACGTGTCTCTGCCAGAACACGCTGACCAACAATATCGACCGCCTTGTGCCGTATAGGATCCGTTTGGTTGAGGGATTTTTTTAGGGTTGTAATACTGTAGGCGTCGCTCATTGCAGTATTTACAACAAAACTGTTTTTGATTTGGTTAAATGGAGGGCTGATGTGTTAGCTACTATAGCTGAATTAGCAGGATCCAGTTAGTTCCTAGCAAAAAGCTCCCTTTTGGAATGTTGTTTGTATTAAAGAATTATAGTTGAATACTAAAAACCGTTTATGAGAAATTTAAATGAAAGATTATTTTCGAGATGTGCTGCATTGGAATGGTAAATCGATTCAACGAATAGTAATTTAGGTTAGTTTTCACTCACATTGTACTGTGAAATTGATGTTTTAGTTAGATTTATCTAGAGGAACTTTAACGCCAATATTTCTCTGTATATTGGGGTAAAAAAACGTAAGACTCGCTCTGAAGTTCCAAGTACAAAAGAAGGGTTTATTTCTTTCTTTTTTTCCTTTTTTTTATTTTTATACTTTATCATTTGATGGTTCAAACCTCAAAGACAACGAAGGGCTGCTATAATTACAAGTATTACCTATGAGATTCACATAGTGTGATGACATATCACTTCATTGATATGAACCATATATACAAAGAAAATTGATCTGACATTTTATTTTATCCAAAAAAAAAAACTGTTATATCTTATTTAAGAAACTAATTGAAAAAGAAGGGGAAATGGAGAGAAAAAAAAACTCGACGCCTGAGAGATTCGAACTCTCGCGGGGAAACCCCATGTACTTAGCAGGCACACGCCTTAACCACTCGGCCAAAGCGTCGTCGTTGCTGTCGGATACAAAATTTTATATAAATATATACCCTGTGCTAACTGCTCTATGGTTTGGGTCTTTAGCGGAATCTGAGCTGTCAACTAATTAAATTGAGAAATATTTACGTCATAAGATATAACTATTTTGATACACTGAAAAACTTAACAGATCAAGATCATCAGATTATTTTCTGGGTACTAATTTTATAATGACCATGCATGGAGCACGAGGCGTTGCTTCGTGCTTCTACCCAAAGTCCAATATCCTAATGTCTCATGGCCGATCACGTGCAATTTAAAAATTATTCATAGATTAAAGTCTGACAAATCTAGACGGAAAAAAAATTCTAAACAAACTTATTCATAAATTTTTTTTCTAAAAATAAATCCTCTTGAGTTTTTTTACAAAATCGACTCATTTTGTCTTAATCCGATTTCTAAATAGTCGGGGTTATCAACCCCGACTATTTAGTGCATAAAATATTAGGGTTTAGGGTTATAATTGGGGGTTTATAATCTCCTAAATATATAGTCGGGGTTGGCAACCCTGACTATTTAGAAACCAGATTAAAATAAAATGAGTCTATTTTTGTAAATAAACTCAAAAGGATCTATTTTAGAAAAAAAAAATATATATAAATGAGTTTATTTAGAAAATTTCTTCAAAAAAAATCCAGAAAGAGCGTGGATCACATGGAGGAGGGAGCATCCGACGCCATATTCATGCAGATAAAAGATAACAACATGCGCACAGCGCATATTGCTTTCAACTAATTAATTAACTCATTGAATTTCGTTCTTAAGGACTGGTTATGTCACAAAGCGTGATTTTGGTGCTCTAATCTTAATATCCATGAAAGTTTTGTATTAGCAAATTATTGACCACCTCTTTACAATTACAGTACTACTACATCTTTTGATGTTAGAAACAATATATATTGTGATTAATATTCATAATGTAAGTGTTTAGATACAATGGTCGAAGCCTCGTACATTCGCAGCTCGTCTTTTTTTTTTTAAGGAACTCCAAATTAAGGGATTGAATTCATACGCATTCAAATCAAAGTAGATTATTTTGCAACATCACACGATAAACAAATACATGCTTGCTTCAACCTCTGGTTCGGATGAATCCAAATAGTTGGCAAACGTGACTAAAATCAAAATCCCTTGAAGAAAGTTCAGAAATATGCACTTCAGTACTTCGCAAATTAATACTATTAATTAATTAATTATCACTGTTTATTACAAAACGCAAGTCGACCGGAGAGACCGGTCCATGCTCAGGCGAGAGAGGACGGCGGCGGCTTGTCGACGTCTTCCAGCGGCCTGAACC